TCAGTCAGTCAGTCAGTCAGTCAGTCAGTCCAAGTCAGTCAATCAGTCAGTCAGTCAGTCAGTCAGTCAGTCAGTCAGTCAATCAGTCAGTCAGTCAATTATTTATTCATAATTGATTATTTCTTCATTTATTTGATTAATTAATTAATTATATCGTTTGTTCATTCGTTTTTGTTTGTTTATTTATTTATTTAATTAATTTTTGTTTGTGTGTTTGTTTATTTAATTAATTTAATTAATTGTTTATTTATTTTTGCACGATGTAAATACATATTCATAAACTATTCTATTTTTAGAATTGAGCATGAAAAGCTACATGCAAAGCATAAAGGGCACGAAGCAATGCACATGGAAATGGTGCTGATATTATTTGCTACTCTTATTGTGGCTCAGATTGTACTTGTCAAATGGAAGAAACTTCATTACAAATCATATCAGGTAAATAGTTTGTAGCTCTCTCTTTCAACTATACTTTTCAGGATCATTGCTATACAATGTTCTTTGGTTCTCTTCAACCCCAAATATCTCAAACGATACCTTTATTTCTTGAGGCAGTTTTTTGAGGACTTACATTACCAGGGGCAGATTCAGGATTTTTAAAAGGGGATTGACTGTTACAGGATCTGCCCCTAATTGCTACTTTTCCTGGTCACCAGGAGAGTTGAAATAACAGGAACCTACCTATACAGTAGTTTGGTAAATTTCTTGCCTGGAAGCGATGGCACAAGAAAGAAAAGAGTTTTTAGAGTTGCAGAAACAAGAAGAGCATCCTTAACTAACTTGATTTTTCCTTCCACAGACAGTTTCTTTAATTGGCATGTGGTTAATTCCTGTGTACTTCAATATCAAGCTTTTCTACTGGAGAATGATGATTGTTTGGGTCCTGTTCTCATTAGCAACTGGGTTTATAGTTTACAAGGCTACAAGAACTCCTATCTCCAATACAACACCTAGGTTTGTTTATAGCATTATTTGTGCATGTCTGAGAAAATTATGACTAAGATTGAGCTTCTACTTTGAAATTAAAATTGGATTTGAGAAATTAATTAAAACTATAATTAATCAAAATTATTTTTAATGATCATTGATAATTCTCTTGGACCTAATCCTTGATCATTAATATCATAATATCAAAGCAGATTTCAAATTAATTTTCAAAACTGCAAGAAGTGAGAAATATCACATAAACAAAGCCAAACCTACCCTATCCCACTGGACCTAATTAACACAATCAGTTGAATGATATGTGTATATTATAAGGCCCTGATGAAACCTTTATCTCTAGTCCTCTCCTAGCCGTGCAACCTTCCAATAATACTCAAGGGATTGACACATAGTCCAAACTTGAAAACACAGCAGAATACAGCAGATCTAATGGTATTGCTTGATTTACAGGCTGGTATACAAGTGGTTTTACACTGTGCACAAGGTGACCTATTTTCTAGGCGTGGCTGGTTATTTCGTCATCATGTTGACGTTACTGGGAGTTAATCTAATGTTTTTAATCAGACCTGAAGTTTCGATGGAATATGGCATAGTAATCATGTTCTATGGTCTCTACTATGGGGTGCTTGGGAGAGACTTTGCTGAAATCTGCTCAGAAAAAATAGCTTCAAAAATAGGGGTAAGTACTATGTGTTAGGGCTAGCCACAAAACCTTCAGTTTTCAAGGATATCAAACCCTGGGGAAAGAAACCTCTTGGCTGATCTAATTGAGTCAGGGCATGACTAACTCACAGATAAAATTGGGAATAAGTGTGTTGGATTTTATGCAGGGAGGAAAACTAGAGAACCTGAAGAGAAACCCTCAAATCAAAACATTTTCTGCAATTGGTGTATAGAATCCAAACGATACATCTGTGAAATAGCACAACTAAATTAACACATCTATTCCTTTTGTTTTCAATTAATTCATGGTTGTTACAGTCAACTCTCGCCTTGCGGACACCCTGATATTACGGACACCTTGCTATTACGGACAGGAGAAAAATCCCAGACAAAAATACTGACAAAGAAATGACCGTAATAAATTTTCGTTGTTGCGGACGCTAGCAATTACGGACACAAAGTGACGGTCCAGAGGGTGTCCACTGTAATGAGAGTTGACTGTATTTTGTACTAATTAGTACTACTCTTTCACAGATATATGGTTTGCCCTCTATCTCACTCTTATGCTATTATTAATAATTATTGTATCAATTATAAACACAGTATTACAGTAAGTCAGGATTACCCAACAGAAGCCTAGAAACAAATATATGTGCAGTCTGTGGCCAGCAACTCATAATAAGCGACGTAGATGAAGATGAAATGCCTGAGAAAACATACAAGCTTACCTGTGGGCATGTGTATCCTTTGCAACATTAATTTCTTTATTAAATTCATGATTAAACTTCCAAACCCCAATGGAAATACTCGCATGTATCTTGTACTAGGATCTTCCTTGCAGGCGAACCAACCTACTGGCTATAGTCTAGTAATATATACGGTTTCTTAAAGGGATTTTAACGTGGGTGAGTTTGCATGGGCGAGTTGGCAAACCCATGATCAATGATTTTATACATGGGCAAATTGGTGTGGGTGAGTTGGTCCGTGGGCGATTTGACTGGCTTCGCCTGCAGCGATGATCCTAGTTCTAGGAATATCCTCCTCAGTCCCATGTAAACAGGGCCTGAGATGGCAAGTATATTGGGTGTGGCCACTCCCTTCATCAAGTTTTTTTTTGTTTGTCTTTGAAGACCTTTCATTTTAACAAACTTGAGTACTTTGTTTTTATCTCCATTTTTTGAATGAAACATGCAAACCACCCCATTCAAAAATACAGCTCACAGGGCTTGGTCTGGTTGTACGAAGGGTGGATAGCACTATCCAATGGATAAATCCTTATCCAGTAGATAAGGTGATGCTGTTTTCCAATACATTTTTCCACTGGATAAGAATTATCTGTCGGATAGTGCTTTATTACACCCTTCGTACAACTGGGCCCAGCCCTGTATAATATCAGTGAGTGCGTCACCCCTTCATCAATGCACCCATTCCTCATTTGCTATGAAATTTGTATTTCGTTTTTTTTTTTTTTGCTGACTTAACTGTGACCAGCTTTCATGAATTCTGTATCCGTGGATGGTGTATAGTTGGCAAGAAACAAACATGTCCCTACTGCAAGGAAAAGGTGGATCTGAAGAGAATGTTCTGCAACCCGTATCCTTTTACAATGAAATGGAAACCATTAGATGTGACATAAATGAATGTTGTTATTATAACATCAGAGGAATAACATGTAGAGGAATGTTACCAATCAGGTGTCTTTTGTGATCAAAAAATAAATGGTATCAACAAGCTCTCGAGGGAGAATGGTAGGAAGGAGGAAAGGGAAAAAGAGGAGTGAAGAATTTGATAAGAAAGGCAAGAGTAAGGCTTAAGATTATAACGGATGGTCAGTCAGACGCCAGTCRTGATGACCAGCCAAATTGGCTTTAGCTCATACCATTTAATGATCTTCTCAATTCTATCAAATCAAGTCAGAAGCATTTATCCTTGATTCACATTTAGTTGGGAGCGTCCACATGTACTGTTTGGTCAACTGCTGGACTGGTTACGATATCTGGTAGTATGGCAGCCAGTTATCATAGTTATAGTACAGTGTATAATATACATGTTAGGATTAGAATAATTTCCAATCCATAATCATGATGATCAATTGCAAGAATGTGCAAACCAAAATGAAGTCTCCAGGGGAACAATGAAGAATCATTCTTGTGACTCCTCAGAGGGTTTCCCTCAGAGCGTCATTTCTGTGCATTCCACTAGGAATGACTAAAACCTGATCATCACTAGCGACATAAGCATAGCATAAGCAAAAGGATCAAAACGTTCTGTTCTTCTTATGCTTGTGATTATGCTTACTGTACATCACTGAATTTCCCAGTAAAGACTTGTACTCTTATATTTATGCTTGTACGTATATTCTAGTGAGGACCAGGCTTTTACAAAATACCATAAAATATAATAGGAATTACCAAAATATCAAAATTGGGCTAGCATTGCATGCAAATTTTTTCCATTACCTGTACTACTAGATAAATAATGTTGAATATTCAAAAATCAAGTATAGGCTAAGACAATCACAAAGACCATTTTACAGCAAAGTTTTGGATTTTTTGGAATTAAGCAATGAATAAGGGTACAAACAATGAAAAAAAAGAATTTTTAATTCAGAAGTGTTAGAAGTATATATTATTATAATTATGATCATCGTACAAAATGTATTTCAGACTTGTGAGTGTCAGCCAAAATCCACATAGCTTTAATGCTATCCATATATTCAATTACAGGAAAAAATTGGGAAATACCATTAAATTATAAATTTTTGACCACTAATAATTTTAGAATTTTTTGGGCTACAACCACTGAAGAATCTTAAAATGAACAAATTAACTTATGGATACTTTATGGGAATGGAACCGAGTTTCTCAAAATTGATTTCTTTCAAAACAGACCAATTGTACAGATTCCATCATAAGAAAGATAACATACAAAATTTTAAGAAGAGTTTTTAATTTGATCAAGTTTGAGCAAATTAAAATGAGCTAATAAATGATATCTTAAAAATATCTTAAAATATAGGGAGTGTAGAGAATGTATGGTAAGCATGAGGTTTTGAAGGGACAGAAATGATACTGCTATGCTACAGCAATGATAAGGTCAAACATCCTGTAGCTTGGTCAGTGAGCTTGGTGTTTGTTGCTCTTAGATGTGATGGGGTACACTGTATACACAAGCTTGGACTAGTCCCTTGCTTATTTTGAAACCCGAAAATTCATTCATTATAACGTATATCACCATGTGACTGTAAGCTGCAAAAGGCCTTTTATTTAAGTGTCCTAGCTATAAAATAAATAATTATATAGGGTTTATTACATTGCTAGTTGTTTATTACAGCCAGATTTATAATTTTAGGAGTGAAAGCATATATATTAACTCTAATGAAATGAATTCATTTTAGAATCATATAATTGTTGGTTTATGTCAACACCACTTACTATGAATAAACACGTGATGTTCATACAGATATGTGGTAATAAACTGCGGGAAATCTCTGGCAAGTATCAGCTCCTCTAATATCTGGGCAGAGATAGTCAGTTGTTGTTCATCAGATGGTGACTTGGCTTGAGTCTTTATCAGTTGGCCTGTAACCATTGCTATTTCGTTCTTCACTAATGCCCTTGTGATTTTACGGCCATCATTCTCTAAGATACATTGATGACGAACAGCTTGCCAAATCTGATAATACACGAAAATGAAAAAATTTGGTGGGTTGAAAAGGTTCAATCAGTAAAGGACCTAATACCAACAAGTGTTCTGGGTAAACAGTTAATGAGGCTAATATTACTAATAGTTCTTCAGCTTTTAAACAATTTGATTCCATGGTTACCAAATAAAGCATTTAGTCACTCTTCTACATGTGTGTCCGTATGCTAACACTTTTAAAATGCCCAATATATCGACTACCCAGAAAATCCCTAAGTCTTAGCTTTGAGTACTGAAATAAGTAGAATCATATCTAAGAGATATAACATTGATATATTCCTACTCAATAAATTTGTAGTATTGAAGAGAAACTTGTTTACCTGTGACCTTGAAATTTCAGCCGTAGCAGAGTCTTCAACTGCACCATTCAAAATAAAACTGCCAACACCTTCAAAAATATTTGTGGCTTAGTTTACATGACTTAAAATAAATGTATTTATTATATTTAATACCAGTGGGTTTTTTAATCAACCAATCAATGGAAAGCAAGCACTGAAATTAAATGAATGAAATTCCACCAAATTTCCCAGGATCACTCAGGAATAAGCAGGGATGTAGATCAGAGAGGATGGGGGAAAGGATGAATATTGGGAGGCACAGGTGGTGCAACAGTGAGAGCACTCAACTCTCACCAATGTGACCAGAGAGTAGAATTGTTCATTGGTTCTCTCCTGTGCTTCAAGGGTCTTAGAGTTCCCTGGATTTCCTCCCTCCACAAAAATGGACTTATAAATTCTAATTCAATCATGAAACGAAGGCCACAGATTTGTTAGCCGACTGGCTATAAGTGCTAACCTCATGAAAACAAGGACAGTATTTTTTTTTAATGCAACCTTCCCTTCCATTCCCTCACTACTAGTGTCATATGCTGACCACAACCACCAGAAACTATCACCAGATTAGGGGGGTTTCAATTATTAGCACATGGGGGGGGGATTGGCAAAATGACAGCTTTACAACCCAACCCCCTCCATGGTAGAGGCAACAATTGCATCAAACCTCCCCCTTTCATCAACTTGCAATAGTTCTCAACAACCTCAATATCGGATAAACCCCCCTAACCACTTACTGAAAATAATGTAAACCCGCTACAATTTTTGCCAACCCCCCCCCCCCCCCCCCCCCCCCCATGAGCTAATAAATGAAAGCCACCTTAAAGCTCACACCTACCTCTAAGCCAGGCTTGAATAAACAAGACACCCACTGTGATATTATTTCTTAAGCCATCTAGTGTGAAGCCACCCTAATAAAATAATCAAACATTAAGTACACTTTAATGATGGCAGTCCCTTTCTCAAATTTTTCAGGAGGATTCATTTTCTTTGTTTTTCTTTTGAGGGAAACTTTATACTCAAATGCACTGAAATGTGCACATGCATACATAAACAAGAGGGCAGTGAATGACAATTTTGCTTTATGGGCTATGAGCAGTATTTTAGGTACATATTTCACCTGTGGGAGTGTCAAGAGGTCAACGGCATTAACTTGTACATCTTGCCTAAGCACATGAAGCTGGTTCTCTGTTGGAACATTCTGTCTCCAGACCTTAAAGCAGAAACTTTGGTGTCAATTATAAATCAGAATATTAAATTCAGCAAATAGAATCAAGCAGAAGGCAGAATGCACCGTCTGTATGCCACAAGGGGGACTCTAAATTATAATTTGCGGTAGTTGGTAAGCAAGTTACAGGGCTAAAAATAATGCCAGATCAATGGGCAATGGCGAGTTACAGGGCTAAAAATAATGCCAGATCAATGGACAAATTATTGATCCAAACTTGGCACTTGTCCAGCCAAATGTCTTTTATGCTGGTCATCATGTCCAGCCATTGAGCAGCTGCCTTAAGTTATGTGGCATGTCTTGATGCGGAATTACCTGGAGTAATGGTTTAATCAGGTCAGGATCAAACACCAAAAATCCATCAGCTCCTGCTTGGATTTCTTTTAATTTGGCTCTGAAAAGAAAAATAATTCAGTAAAGACAGAGTTATTTTTAAAGAACAATCCATACAAATCTTTAAGGAAGCTTGAATTAATTCTCACAAAACTATTTTTGACCCCTTCCTAATATTCTGTTTAAGCAGAAAAACGAAATGCTGATAGAAGAATGGGATAGGGGGCAAACCATCAATCCCCCTTAAAAAGCCACCATGTTACTATAGTCTCAAGTGCCTTGAAAAGTTAATATAATACTCCTTTACACACTAAACTGCAAAATTAATCACCCATAAGAATGGATTTATGCCTAATAGACCCTTTTCGAGTTCCAATTTACTGCTGTGTTTCTTGATTACAGAGTCATTTACTCAGGGTCAGCCTCATATCAGTGTCTAAATATTCACAAATACCAACATTAAAGTAAAGGATGCACAACTTCAACAATACGAACACTTTGAAACCTGACGGACCTTGGCTGGAACATGTGAATATTCTTCACAAAATCGAGGCTAAGCCTGAGTAAATGAGTCTGTAATCAAGAAACACAGCGGTAATTTGGAATTCAAAAATGGTCTATTACTTACATGCAAACATTTTGCACAATCTGATGGGATTTTGCATTGTTATCTTTGGGTAGTACAGAAGGTACCATACCTCCAGTGGCATGACAGCCATGAGCATGACAAGTCTGCAATACATCATGATGTCATTAGAACAAACTAATATTAATTCACTCAATGAGGATACGATTCTCAGGGGAGAAGCATTGGTATCATTTTAAAAGGAGCCCACAGAAATGCCTTCTCTGTCAATACTGATAATTTATCCTCGTAATCATAAAATATCTGGAAAAAATGGTCCATTCAATTCTAGTCTTTAATTTTGCATGACTGAAGAAAATTATAATGTTGGTTCTACAAGACTTTTTGCTGTTGCATCACAGCGTGGGACAATCACAACAGAGCCTAAGGCTCCAAATTAAGTGAAAGCCCAAAGATCGAATTAGAATTTAGAAGTTGATTTTTGCGGAGGGAGGAAAACCAGAGAACCCAGAGAAAAACACTCAAAGCACAGGAGAGGACCAATAAACAACTCTATTCACATACGACATGAAGATTGGCAGGACTCAAACTCTGGCCGCATTGGTGAGAGGCTGTGCAATAGCAGCGCACTCCACCGGTGCTTCCCATATTCCATATTCCATATTATTTTCATGAGTGCAAAAGTAAAATCTAATACCTATTTACCTTGATGACAAGTTCCAAATAACTCTTGAGGTACTGTTTATCCATCGAGACATACTTCTTACGATCAGCAAGAATAAAATCTTTACGATGACCTATACTTAGAAAAATATGTTAATGATGAAAGATATGGAAATGCTATTTGTGGTAACCAACTGCCCAAAAGTCCCCCAATAGCCTACATCAACCTTCCATCAAACCACCAACACCCAAGTAACACCCTACCAACACCCTACTGACACCCTACTAACACCCTACTGACTCCCTACTAACACCCTACTGACACCCTCCCTACACCCTTCTGACTCCCTACTAACACCCTATTGACACCCTCCCTACACCCTACTGACACCCTACCAACACCCTACCAACACCCTACTGACATCCTACTAACACACTACTGACATCCTACTAATACACTACTGACATCCTACTAACACCCTACTGACACCCTACCAACCCCTACCAACACCCTACTGACATCCTACTAACACACTACTGACATCCTACTAACACACTACTGACATCCTACTAACACCCTACTGACACCCTACCAACACCCTGCTGACTACATACCAACACCCAAGTGACAACCTACCAACACCCTACTGACACCCTACCAACACCCTAATAACAATCTACTAACACCCTACTAACACCCTGCTGACACCCTACCAACATCCTACCAACACCCTACCAACACCCTGCTGACTACATACCAACACCCAAGTGACAACCTACCAACACCCTACTGACAATCTACCAACACCCTACTGACAATCTGCCAACACCCTATTGAACATCCTACCAAGACATATTTCACTGGTAACTGATGCAGCATTGCTTTAATCACATATAAACATACAAAACATGACTAACCAAAGGTGCTGACAAAGGAGGCTGAATAGTCCCACATTCCACAATTAAGACCAGCACAATGATCCCTGAGCTCAAAGAGAACCTGCTCCAGCTCAAAAGAAGTGAGAATGCTCTCAATCAGGACACAGGCTTTGATGCTCCCCAGTGGCAGGCCAAGCTGATGTYATTTAAATAATGTAAAAAGAGATACCATAAGTATGTCAAACCATCAAACCATACAGTACACTGTATCGAAATGTGGAGAGCCATTTGAATAATTATTCTTCTGGATTGATTAGACTAAAACTACATGTGAAAAGTTACATTTTTCTGTTTTCACGTGAGCACAAGGTTAGTTAGTCCAGAATTATAATAGTTATTCAACTTGGTAGCCATATTATGATTGGATGTCTATCCCGTTTCATCTTTGCTACAAAAGCCATAAGGTTTTTCCTACTTACATGGCTTTCAGCCCAGGAAAATATGTTGTTCCATAATCTTACTTCAAGGTGGCTTTCAAGCTGTTTCACAAAATGTAAAAAAACCCAATCACATATTCACTAAATTAATTGAGTTTTTAAAAGACAGTCCATGATGAGGTATCATGTATCATGTATCATCATCATCATATATCACCATCATATCACCATCATATCATCATCATGTATCATCATGTATCATCATCATCATATATCA